TCTCATAACCACATTCCAGATTTTGTTTTACTCTCACATTTATGATATATAATTTCATTTGTATTCCTACTTATTAATTAGATGATCTGATATTCTAAGAGTATTTTCCTCGTAATATGAGCAGGTCGTGGCTTAGCAGTTAGAGTGTTGGACTGCGAATACGTCGTTCCCAAGTTCGCGTCCTCTTGTGGCAAAATCGCATTCCACTTTGGGGCCGTGGATGCTTTATAAGAGAAGAGTTTAAGTCACACTATTTGATTAGCGTAGCCCAAGATTTGGCGGTTGATATAGTTGAATTATTACCTTGTCTTTAGTCTATTATTTCAGAATTAAAGTTGGCTAGCACAGGTTTCCCTTGTTTGGCTTTGCGTGTAATCAAACAAATTATATTTAACTATGTACTAAAGGGGAAAAAAATCAACTTGCATCTCTTACATGAACAAGAAATGTTAAAATCATGAGTAATGCACTGTTCGTCACAAAATCTCTACCTCTGAATAAAATCATACTTTTCATACATATTTACCACATAAAGTATTTCACAACAGGAAGTCATATGTATTGCAATAGTACAGTTTAATGTGTTATTTAAGCCTGAAGTCCTTTTGTGTAACGTACGTGATTTTCACTTTTCATTTTTAAAAAACACAAATAAGGCTTTCAAAAGAACCCTTGAAAAACAGATAATAGATTAAATGTATTTAACAGTAACTGCTTACCACCAGTCAAACTGTGTATTTTTGTAAAATCTACTAAGCCTATCTGTCACCGTCTATAAATTTGAACTAATGGACAGATGAAAGACAGCCAGCATTACATTACCACCCATCATCCACTCTAAGGAATTTACAGTCACTCTTATAACGCAAACACAGCTTAAAGTACAGCATATATTTTATAGTATGGCACGGATTCGAATCCAGCTCCGAAATCCAGAGCTTTACCGTAGAGCCATTCTGTGCCCCATTCTTACAAGGATTTTTTCTTTAAAGCATTGGATTCAGAATTAAACGTTCCAACATGCAAAATCGTAGTCATTTGAGGAACTGTATTAGTAAGAACATTTACAGCGGCTCCAAAATAAAGTGGAGTTTATTGAAATATAAATATCTTCGGATATAATTATGTTGGTAATGATAACTGAATTGCGCACGTTGTCCCGAAATCGTATTAAAGCGAATAGCATATAGGATTGTGGATCTAATTATATAACGTAACTGAATTTTGTAGAAGAGAAAATATAAAAAAAAATCAAAAAATGGATTCAATTCTAAACCATAGAATACATTACTAAAAGGAGAGCAGGTGCTGTATATAAGTCAGTTTAAATAATAAATGATTTAGGCAATACGGTGTTAAATCTCAAAAATCATATCTTACCTCCGCGCCTAGTTGCCACTCCAAACACTAAACCTGCAATTATAAATAATATTGTCCAAGGTCTTCGATGATGCCCGGTCATCATGATGAAATCAACTAAGCGACTTGCTATTTTTCCACAAAAGACAGTTCTGTAAAATCAAGAGAAAAAATAATATAAATAGTCAGAAATATTGACCATGGTTAAATCATGTTATAACAATTGTATAGCCCACATCTGATGTTCCTGAAACAATTATACTGTAAGTATTTTCATTTATGACTATTCGAATATTTAGGTAATTATACGAGACATTTCGAAAAGAAAGAAAATTTTATTATTCATGAAAAATGAGAAAAGGTAAATATCCATTCAGTATAGCAAACATTTTCTGTCTAACGAGTAAACTTTTACATGAAAAAAATGTTAACTCTTAAAATTGAACATTTATACTCCCTTGATTCTTTCTGTTCTAGATTATCTCAAATTGTACGAGTCCCTACAGTTTTCTCATTTCCAGCACTGATGCAAATTAAGAATAATAGTTTTACGTAATGATTGAAGTGGATGCTTGGAGGAATGAGAGAGTTAGCTTGGGTTCCCTGTCATTAAAACTGGGATGAAGTTTTCTCATATTAGCCATTCCAACTGTAATCACAGAACCCTGTGAGCGTCAATTAATTCTATATTAGAAACTTCACGCGAAATGGTCCAAGAAAATTGTTATTTGCAGTATTTCATTACTTTCGTAATGACAAGGAAACTTTAAATGGCGTGAACATTTTAAGAAACACAACATTTATTTAGAATGGAATACAAACGAAAGTAAATTTTACAATTTAGTATAATTCACTTAACTATTTAAAATAGATGACTTAATTAGATTGTCTTCATTGAGAGAAATAACCAGAAACAGAAGCAATGTTCCCTGTAATAGAAAAAAGTTACTTTTTTGCATCTATAATTCAGTGCTCGGTTAATTGTTTTAACCATTAGTCGACCATTGATATTTCCTATAAAACTGATCTAATCGGAGTAAAATGTTACTGATAATTGCAGATGCATCTTGAAACAAAATCAACCTCAAAAACATGTTATTAACCAATAAAAGCATGTTCATGTGGCCCAATATTATACGCATGTCAAACATGATTATGTTTTCAGTATATCTCTTCTACTCAGAGTTTCGAATACAAGCCAATAAAAACTATTAATGTTTCTTTTAAGAAAAAACTGATCTGCGCAGTTCTTAGAACGACTTAATTTTAACATCTAACATTTTTAACTTAGCAAAAATATATTTTGACTGCGCCATATTGCGAAAAATCTATGTAGTAATTGCGTTATACGTTTTTCTTCCATTTGATCTGGATTTGTTATCCTCCTCCCCCTCTTCTTCTTTTTTTTATTTTTTTTGATGTAAAATGAGACGTACTTTCTATTTTGCAGTTTAACTCAGACAGCAATTGTATATAATGACAATTCTAGGAATACATTCTTAAGAACAAATTACTAACATGTTACATACTTTTATTGGTTTTAACGTTACCTGGAAACTTGTAGCACTATGATTTATCGACTTCTGATTTCTGAGTTAGAATATTAGATATATACAAAAAAAACAGTTGTTGAAACCAAGTAATCTTGTTTACTGAAGAATCCTCGGGTGGAAAACTTGAAGTGGAAAGATTCTAAGGCTATAACTCAAACTTTCAAGCACCAAAGATTTGTCTTCCGTATCAACGTGAAATCCATAAACTGTCACTTTATATTTCACCAATAAAATAGCATGAACCTTGAATCTCTCTTTAAAACCAGTTCCCTCCGAATCCAGTAGTATGGCAAAATAATTGTCGCGACAAATTCTTCAATATATACATTTTTCAACGTACTATTAGCATATATTTCATTCATCAGTCTCGTTTTACCATAATTATTCATATATGTAATAATTCCTAAAAGTACTGTTTACAACGTTTTCAAGCATAGCTGTTTCAAATGTACCTCCAATCTGTTTATTAATTTCAAAATACTGTTTACATCCGAGTGCAAGTTATGAATTATCTTCTGCACATTTCCCATATGCTTCTAAAACATTCGCTATTCATTCCCTTGATAAACAAGCAGAGTGATAATTATTTCCAATAACTTTTCTCTATATATCATTATATCCTTCTCCAATATACACTAAATTTATTTACATCCTTCGAATATTTGAATTCTTATGTGTTGAATATTATGCATACTGTAGACAGGATGACCATTTCCTTCCTAATGAAACTATTTTCTGAACAACACATTATGATCTTCTCTTGCTTAAAAAACGTATATGAAAAAAATTGCATACGTATGTATACTTAGATGCCAGGCAATATAATATAACTGCTCGTTTCCCGTTTTTAAAGTAGGGGAATGTCATAATGTGCAACGAAAAGAAAAAACAACACACGATAAGTTCGAAAGATTATTCTAAACAGCGGGCACTAAGCACCTCAAGCCTTTCTCGTTTATTTCAAATGACTAATATCATCATATTTATTTCACGCATTTCAACTGAGCTGAAAGAGGAAAGGTGCAGTCGAGCGAGATGTAGAAGAGATTTGAAAGTTGGCTGCAAATGGTGAAGGCTGTATCAGTTCACTTTTCACGAATTAATTGCCTTTACGAACAAATATTTTCATATTACAAATTATCCGCAAGGCAAAACATCTACTTATATAAACAGGTGTTCTTCTATAAAAACAGAGGTGTGATGGAATCATCTCAGAATGGAAGACATTAAATAAACTAATCAATTTATAACTGTTTATGGGCAATGCTATGTGACTTACAAATGACTCACCTTCTTATTCAACATACGTAAAAATATTCTATACATGTAATAGAAAATTTTGAATAGCTTGAGACTCTTTTTTTTTTCTCCTTACATAGCGGATAACTGTAAAATATTGTAAAGATTGTTCCTCAACTTCACTCTGTAAAAATACTATTAGGTCTGGAAATGTATAACATTCTATTTTCCTTATTGTATTTTTTGTTTGTTTGTTAATTGTGTTTAAGTGATTAAACTAATGATTTTGTTTGGAAGTCTTTTTTTGTCCAAGACATGAGTCACTTGAAAATAAGTTAATTTTGAAAATAGTAAATGATATATTTTCGATTAAAGTTAAAATACCAGATCTGGATATTAAAAAACCTTCCTTAAAAACACAAACTTCCTTTAAAATATAATACATCATTTCTATAGTACGTGATACAAGAAACGATCAAAGAAATGTATCAATAAAAGATATCAGCTGGATACATTTAGTGATCTCTGACTGCGTTCATTCATTTGAGTCATCACGTTTCCATCAATTTTGTTTGATTAGTGCCAGAAGTTCCAACCTCGAATATCATGAGTTTTCTGCTCTTCGTTCTAGAGGGACAGTTTATTTAATTCTAGCTCGCGACTATTGATCGGTTGTCTAACACCAAATATTGTTCGATCTAGACGAGTACTATCACTGCCACTAAAATCTGGCAAAGGTTCTTGAAGAAACCTTGAATACTTTTGAAACACGTACGTATCATCAGAAAAATAACTTCGTCGTGATAATGAAGACTGAAATGGTCTGCAAGTGTGTGTACTAATAACAATTGTTTTGGTATTTACAGAATTTCTTTATAACATCTTAGCCTTCAAGAGGGGGATTTTTTTTTTTTAATTTTTAACGTTGTTAGAGAAACCCCGACTGTCTGGAGGGAAATCATTATTTGCTCTGCAGAACGTTTCCAAGAGACTTCTGCTACTTGAAATATCTGTAGCTAGTGACAATCGGAAGTTTATTACTGCTCAGGGAATTACGGATGACACAAAGACGCTGCAGTGAAAGCTGCCACCAAGAAGATTGTCGAGTTCACGAAATGCGAAACTTGGTTCCAAATGGACTAATTGTATATAACCCTTTTAGTTGGAGAGTTGGTCTCGTGCTTTAACTAAATTTCATAATGCCGTGCATTAAATTATTTCAAAAGAGCGTAGTTTGTTCTAAAATCTTAACAGGCTCGTATTGTCGTTATATCAATACTTGAGAAACTTGTACAAGGACTGTCTCTATAACCCAGCACCTGTCAAATTCAGTATGCAACGTATGATAATATATTAGGGCTACCTATTGTCGTTTTCTTTTTCATAATTCTTTTAATTTAGAGTTTAGTTCCAGATTATTTTGTTTAAACACGAAACACGAACAGAAAGGAGCTTGTTTGAGACTATAAAATACATTGCAATAATGGCTCATCATTCCACAAAATAAACACTGAAATTAATTCAGTGATTTATTTCGAATCAGAAACTAAAATTACACTTTATTTTTTCTAACCTCAGCCTAACCAATAGAAACCGTATACATACATATACAGCTTAACCAATAGAAACCGTATACATACATATACAGCCTAACCAATAGAAACCGTATACATACATATACAGTCTAACCAATAAAAACCGTATACATACATATACAGCCTAACCAATAGAAACCGTATACATACATATACAGCCTAACCAATAGAAACCGTATACATACATATACAGCCTAACCAA